CAAGCCATGGCCCGGATGACTACACCGGGTTGACACCGAGACACTCAGCTTCACACTGGAATAATTAGAAGACATTCTTCCATGAAAAGTGTCGATAAGAAATTTTATGTCATGGTAAAGGGGAATGAAATAGCTCAGGTGATGATGTTGTATGGATTAGAGATTGGTAATAAAGCAGGGAGTTTGCTGTAATATTTAATGTGAATTACTTAAAGGTTCAGTTCAGGGTGATTTTGATCTAGTACAGCTATGAACTGGACTGACTCAAAACATATGAAATTGTTGTGGACTAATTGATCACACTTCTTTCTTTAAACATCATGCTGCTTGATTAGATTATTTAAAGTGACATATCTTAGTTTATCTGGTTTATCATCTTATACTCAGTTTTATTCATGTTGCGACGATGTTTTTTTTTAAATTGTGGCACTTTAATCAGCCTCTGAAAATGAGTTGGGTAAGCTGAAATGTGTGGATGTTCAGATGATCTAATAAAATGTGAAAAATGGCTGTTTAATATGAAACTTTTGATTATTTCTAACAGCGTGCCCGACTAGAAGGCCCATCGTGGGGGACCACAGTAGTTTCCACATGAATATTACACTCATATGTGATTGTAGAATATCTCATTCAAATGTAGGTATTAATATGCTGATATGTCAGCCTTGATTCTTCTAGAAGGGCTTTTGACAAAGTCTTTTGAATGTGGCTGAGATTAGGCGTCTACACAACAAACACACTCATGTGGGCCCACAGTGGGTAGGCGTGGGGCTGTGTGGACAGGGCAAACCCACCCTTCATTGCATGTGGGCCCAGTTGGGTGTGTTCACACAGGGATAGCAGCAGTTTTATCCTTTGGAGACCCTAAAAAGTTTTCTGTGGACAGCCCACAATGTGCTTGCCTACAGAAAACTGCTTTGGGCCCCACATGGGCAAGTAGTTTTGTCTGTGTGAAGGTTTCTGTTGGCATCCCTTAGCAGCTTTGGATATCTGCAACCCACTGGTGATCAGATATGCCCTACTTCTCACCCTAAGTATCAAGACCCACAGTGAGCTGTTCACTGTAGGTCACCGTTGCTGCCTCTACTTCTAGCATCTTCATTATTACACTTGCCTCCCTCTCAGTCACATCCATAACATGCCATATCACAAAGCTCAAAACATCTGAAACTGCTTTCTTGAATATTACAACACTGGACCTTTGGCATGTGGTGTAACTGGATATTGAAATCATGGTTGAGCAGCTGACAAATCAGGAGCAACTGCGTGATGTTATCAACATGGTCCAAAATCTGAGGAATGTTTCTGGTGAATCAGTGCCATGAAAAATTAAGGCAGTTCTGAAGGCAAAAGGGAGTCCAGCCTGGTACTAATAAGGTGTATGTAGTAAAGTGTCCAATAACTGTATATGTGGCAAGGGGTGGCTATACTATTGGCTCATGAGCACGGGTGTCAAACAAAAGACATGGGGGACCAGCAAAGACTCCAATCTGTCCCAAAGGTTGGCTTTGGAAAATGCAGAGAACATAAATTTTGGACTTTTAGTTTTATTTTGATAGGTTTTCCAGCTTTTCCTATTGATGAAGACCTCCATCTTGGTCATACTACACCAAAGTAATTCAGTTATAGATTTATGTAATTTGGCACATTTACTTCTTATAGTTTAATCCCAAAGAATCGTGCTGATCTTTTTTTTCCCCATCTACTACAGCAGCATTTCTTTATTATGTAGAAAAAACAGAGAGGTGCTGTTGAATTAGCACTTCTTTTTTAATATTAAGCTATCTGAGGAATTAAATGTGTAGTTAAAATTCTATACACTTGAAAAAAGGGACAGTTTCACTAGTTTCGGCCCAACATGAGATCAAAACGGACAAGTCACTAGTACTATTATATTCCTGTCCACGTGATGGCGTTAGCTCACCACAGCGTCTCTGCACCAAGCTTCAGAGGGAAAGGACAGAAGAAGAACGTGGCCGTCAGATAGCATAAACAACTTAGCGTAGCTTTGTGTGATATGAGGTCTGTGCTTGTACAGAATTAGCGAGCCAGTAACATAAATTCATCAAAGAGAAATTCTTACCTACGAGCACACTGCTGCGCAATTTAGGTATGTGCTCCGCTAAGCTAAAGCGACGAGGAACAGCACGAACTGTTAAATCAGTCCATGCTAGCCCATGGCGACGTCAGTAAATGTTATTTTGTTTAGGAACATGTTGACCTGGCTAATGCTAGTATAAAAGCTAATGGTGATGTTAGCAGACGGTACATAAAGTGACATAAAAGCAGCTACGATTAGTGCAGCCGGGATAAGTTTCTCAGCACTGGTGACAAACTGATCTTGGTGTCGGGAAAGGCTTACTAGCTAACTGCTATGGCTTCGAAATGTTACCGAGTCTTCTACTAGACAGATAGAAGCAGATATTCATGTTGTTGTGTTTGATTTAAACTCCATATCTAACCATTTGTAATTCGTGACACAGAAGCGTGACTGCGTGCGTGATTTTTGGCTGCTGTGTTATTCTAGCACCGTCATGCTTCTGGCCTAGAGCAGAAAATGATCATAACTGAACTCAGTCCGGACTTGTCTTGTTTAAAGAAAAGTCAGGTCTCGGCCTTTCTTAAAGTAGCATTTTGTAAAAATGACTAAATAAATCAATACGTGCCATTATGTTTTGCCTGAAAGCAGCTAAAGCTACCCTTTATTTGCCACTTTTCACAGGTGTCACACCCTGAAGGCACATTTCATCTTGTACAGTAACACTGTAGCACCACTGGCAGCCTCGGGACCCGAGAAAATAATGTGCTGCAGCTGAAGATGGGAGGTAGCGGCTCCAAATCCAAAGGATTTTGGCCTTTTTCTGGCTCAGGTAGTTCAGACGATCCAACCAAAGATGGAAATGAGCAGACACTGGCAAGAGTTCGAAGTTTCCCGGGTGCCACTCCTTTTGTCTTTACAAGAAGAAGGTAAATGTAATGTCGTCATACCAAGACACTCATTTATGACATTGTTGTTGACTTGTGTCGTTTTTAATTAGCAGTCTGTGGGTTTTTGAGTAGACTGAGGTTCCAACTCAAAAGCAGTGCTCGAAAATGATTGTTTCATGCATGTTGTCCAGCCTTATTTAAACTGGGCGATGTATGTGTGTGATGATTTTGCAAAGATTTTGAAAATATTTAACAGGAATGTGATACAGTGTGTTCTTTCGGAGGGGGGGAAATGTAAAGAATGGTTGAAAATGTTCTTTGTAAAAATGTTTTCGGTGAAAACAGAGTTACACATTCACCTTTGGGCAACACTATTGAGAGAGAAAAAGTCCTAAGATTTATGGTGTTTAACCAGTGAATCACACCAGATCAGCTGACATTGTTCTTCCTGCTAATGTGTCCACTATTTTCATTCTCCACACTGTATTTAGACTGGACACAAGCAGACTTTAACAGACCTGTAGTGGTTTTAACTACCCTCTTATGCACCACTTTTACACTGATCTGGTTGTTTGCTTTTCATTTTGTTTTGTTTTTTTTCCCCTCACACTGTTAACCTTTTAAAACCAGTCGTTTAACCCACAGGAAGACACTGTTTTCATTTTAGCCAACATTTCTTTCTTTCTTTCTTTCTTTCTTTCTTTCTTCTTCCTTTTGCACATCACGCATGAAAGGGAAGTGGCTTAAGGTGTATTCAGACACCTTAAGTTTGACATCTTAAAACCACACTTATGTGGATGTAGTGTTCTTTGTGGTACACAAATTAGAGTATGTGGACCAGAAATATTTACACAATACGTGCGTAAGAAGCAAGCTAGCTTGTGTGTATTAAAAATAATTACTGTGCGCAAGTAATTTTGTGTCTTTGCTCCAGCTCAATGTTCTTTGATGAAGACGGTGACTTGGCCCATGAGTTCTACGAAGAGACTATTGTGACAAGAAATGGCCGTAAAAAAGCGAAGCTGAAGAAGATTCAGAAAAACCTCACACCTCAGGTGAGGAAATTAAGATTTTAAAGCAAGACTTTACACACTAACACCAGATCTCTGTAGCATATGTCCAAATCGTTTTATTTTCTCGTGTCCTCACAGGGAATTATAAAGCTGGACCATCCGTGCATCCATGTAGATTTCCCAGTTGTCATCTGTGAAGCCTGACAATGTCTGAGGAGCGTCTCGGACTAGCCACTGTGTCAACTCCGTCCTTCGGCTTCCACTGCAGATGGAAGCCCGAACCACCTTTCAAAATAACATGATCTCTTGATATATTTGATGCCCTTATGTGGACAGGCTGATGCATTGTGTGCTGAGCCTCTGCATGTGATCTGTTTTTGGCTTGTGTGCAGTTAAGACACAAAATAGGTCACCAGTAGGGATCTAGAATGGTGCCAAGCTGGGGAAAATCAGTTTACAGATCTTGGTTTGTGTGCATGTAAGTGTGACTGTGTGCAGATTTGGGATGACACATGACTGAGGCCTGAATATTTAGCAGTAGATTGTCTTCTGGTTTGATTCATAAAACTCAAAGAGCTGAAGGAGAATGTAATGTTCTTCCCTCCAAAGGGGTCTGAGCACGAGTTGAAAAGTTGCCAGTGCACACTTACGTTTTTTGACATTATGACTCGCTTCATTATGCATGGAACAGGATCTACTTATGGGACAGCCCAATGAGTTGACAATCAGTGGCTCACAAACCCTTAATGTCACAATTTAATGTTGGAAGGACTGGCTTCAGTGACCTCAGAGCCACAAGATGTGCATCGCAGCAGTGAGTCTAATGACAGATCCTGTTGTTTTCTTTGCTGGTTTGACATACAATGTTTAACTTTTAATTTATTATAACTGTTTTTTAATTACAAAATAAAATGCTGAATTAAATCACATTCCTTCTCTGTATCCAAACTTTACAGATGAACATTTCAATGTACCGTAACTTCACATAATCACAGTTCATTATGAAATATTCCAGTGAAAATCAGTAAGAGCAGTGAAGACAAAAGAAGATTAACATGGACACTCGTGTTAATCTTTTGTGCTTTTTTTGGCCCTAGACAGTCGTCTGGGTTTCTATATTAACAGTGATGGATAGATAACTACAGTTTAATTACACAGAGGTCATGGTGGGAAATTTAGATCTTCTAGCAAGGGGAGGGGGTTAAAGCCCCTGCCATATATGGTAACCACACCTGACATTTGTAATGTGGTTAGCTCTTGGAATTTAGACCTGCATGGGAATGGCATCAACTAATCTTGGAAACTATTCAGGTGCCTTCTGGGAATGTGGAGTCATGACTATAAAGCCATCAGTCTGGCCCTGGTGGACACTGCATTTTTCACGAGTTTTAATACAAGTAATCACATTAAATTATGTTATTAAAGGTTTTAAAATATTTCAAGTTTTGAGGATTGGATTGGAGTACTTTTAAGTTTTCAGTAGTTTGACTTGCCAAGGCTTTGCTATCCTGTTTGAATTTGACTTCAGTAAAAGAGTCAATTATTTAAAGAAAGATGAACTTTTATATAACTCTCAAAGCTCATAGAAACTATTTGCCAAATAATCCTTTATATAACAGGCAGTTGAATCTTTTTACAGAGTTTTTAAACACTGGAGTGAGCAGAAGGTGGATGTGTATTTCAAATGTCGCTCTTGACCTCCACCTACAACGAAGTTAGGCACTTGTAGAGGAAATTGCGATGGCAAACCAGCACTTGGAAGTAAAGCGTGTATAAGAGCATCTGCTAATGAGTTATGGATGAAGTTAAGACAGAAGTAAAGACTATCAATGCAGTCACCATGGGAAAGGGTTTTTTGACAAAGCTGTCTAATATTGCTCTTCTTAGAGGATAAAGAGTTTAGTGCCAAAATCCACTACACTTTATTGCTTTTATGAAGTGTCTCTGCTGCAGTCTTTGGGCTTTCCCCCTGCCCCCTCTGTGGGTACGTACTGTTTTCAGTCTGGGGAAGACATGCCATGTTATTACTTTTTTTGTTGTTTATTTTCTCACAGCTGAACAAATATAAAAGGCCACGAGGTGAATTGCAGTCTCAGGATTAATGAAATTGACTCAGCAAACCACATATCCTCTGGTTTTGCTGACAGGTCACATGACATTTTAAGCCATGCAGTAATGTCAATATATTCTTTTGTCTTTTTAAAGGAGTATTTAAATTATTCCAGCTTCTAATAGATATATCTGACAGCTTTTTCTTAAGGTGTAAGTAATAGCACAATTGGGTTATGAAGGTCAAGAATGAAAACGTGCTTTGTTGTTATAAGCATGTTGATGAGTTTTTCTATAAAAACTCTTTTCAAAGGAAAGAGTCGATAACTCAGATTGTGGAAAATAACTGGGTGGATTCTGATTAAGTGGAAAACGTGCACCTCAGTCTAGTTTACATTTCATTTGTTATTGCTGAAAACCTGACACAATAACAATCAGAGGTCACATACGGCAAAGTGTTACATGTTACTTGGAGTTTCTGGTGGACATTAAAAAATGCTCTTTTGGAATAATACATTTTGTGAAAAAGAAAAACACAGTTTCAACAATGTTCTTATAAAGATGTGTGGAAAGAGGCACCGAATGCAACGGGAAACAGTCTGACAAGGGCAAAAAATGAGGACAGGACTATTTTTATATTCTGCGGACTGATGAGCGACATGACACGAGGCACAAAAAAGACAGGTGGAAGTAATAAATGCTACGAGACAGGAAGACTTAAACATGATACAGACAGAGTGGAAGACAGAAGGAACAAGCCCAGTGATGAGAAGGAGAAAAAATACCAGCAAAATAATAGGATCAAAACAGGGACCAGAAACTCTGTAAAGTGTAAAGTAAAAAAGTAAAACTCAAAAGCTTTAACAAAAAAACAACAACTTTTACATTATTTTATACTTTTAAATACATCAACTTTAAATACAGCAAATATCCTATTAACCAAATGTATTTAAGACTAGCTGTGCTTTAGAACGATGCTAATGGGGTGCCTCCCTAATACATAAACAAACATTATTTCAAAAATTACAGTTTTATCTTTAGTCTTCTGACTGATAAAGGAGAGGTAGAGTTTACTGGACACATATTAAATAAACAAATCAACAGAATAAACAGTTTAAGAAATTAACGTTTTAGCTGATTTTAAACTGAATTTATGCGTGTGTGTGTGTGTGTTCAACTAAAAAGGCTCTAATTTTCACTTCTACATATTGCAATGCTAAAAAATCTTAGAGCTCTAGACTAAATGTTTATGTGTATTCATAATGGATGGTGGGTGCTGTCACTTTGTTCCTGCTCAGGCTCCTCGAAAGCTGCTGTCTTTCTCTGAGCTCTCACCTTCGTGCTCTAGCGTCTGGCCCTTCTCCACCTCCTCCCCTGATACTTATACATCTGACTCCCCTTCTACAATTTTGAGTACAATCCTTTCTGTCTCACTCAGCATTCTGCTTCCTGAAGTATGGGCGTAGGTTGAAAACGGGACTCCTGCTGTTTATAGTACTATTTCAGTACTAAGTTGATGTTAATCTCATATTTAAGATAGAAGAACATTTTTAGCAACACAAAGATAATATCTGCAAAGACATGAGTTAATCTCCTTTGTTGCTATAAAAAGTGGAAGCTGCAATGCCAGTCACTTTGAAGAAAGTCAGTGTTGTATGTTGGTCAAATCACTGCAAACAAAAAGCTCAGGCTGTCTTCTTGACAGCTCAGGAGGACACATATAGATTGCATACATTTTTATTGAGAAAGAGGTCTCAGACTCCTGTTTCTCACAGAGGAGACTGAAAACTATGTTCAGATGCAGCCTAGCAGGAACCCACCACTTACAGTAATCTGATTTAATTAGCTGAAAGGGAGCAGCCTGTGTGTCTCCAAGTGTCACAGTAAGTATTAAATTACTGTGATATTACTTACCATGATCCTGACAACATATATTAGGATCCTCGCACTGGATTATGTATTGTTTTGCAAAACCCAATGTGTTTGTGTGAATGTGGCCTACCCATGTAAAATTTACACTTGATTCATGTAAGACCCAGCAGGCAAAAATCCTGTTTGAGAAGTAAAGTCACACCACTGAGTTTTAGTGATGAAAGTAGCTTCCTATATTAACTACCACGCTTTAAAATTAAGACCAGGTAAGAATATAAAGTGAGGGGTTTGTACTTGCGTGTGCAACTTAGTGGTTAAGAGGTGGGGTTTCCTTGACATTTAAATAGCAATGAACAACTGTTTTTGTATCCTCTGTTAGACAGATCTCTTAGGAGAACTTTCTAGACTCTTGGCACCGAGCACAAGGACTGAGCTGTATTTATTTTTAACAAGTGGACAGCTTGATTGATCCACTTTCATTTGGAGATTATAAATTAAGAGAAAAGACTGCTGGTAAGACACATAATTACTACTCTTTTAAAAAATGACAGTTTAAAAAAGAAATTGAAGGTATTCACAGCAGTGGCATAGCACTTTTTAGTGTTTAAAAAATGTTTAAAAAATATCTTGAGATGTATAACTGATGCTATCAATTATATTTTAATGCAGGGGCACATGAGATGAGACATGAGAGTTTTTCTCGCTCTACACTGCCTAACAATTCAAATCAACCTCACTGTAAAGGTGACAAACTAAGCCTAAACCTAAGAGGTCACCATTTCCAAAGTTTAGTGTGATCTGCAGGTCATTTAAGCTAGTTGATGAAAATGCATCAATCATCTATAGTGCATATCGATTTAAATACACTATATCATGGATACTAGACTTTTTTTAAGCAAAAACTTTCGTATAGTTAATATTTTTTAGTTTGCATTTATTAAGCTCTTGTTTAAACAAAAGGAAGCAAAATAACCTTTTCATTCCACTTCCGAGTGCTGCAGTTCATCCATTCAGGTTAGGGTGATAATCAGATCTAAATCAGGAGCAAAACACTAGATTTTAATCTAAGATTCGCTTTTATCAGTGAAACTTCCTTCAGGGCAGAACTCGAAGAACAGGCTAACTTGATATTAATTCACGAGGAGGGGGGTAGGTTTTACTGCTATGTACATTTACCCTCAAATTCAAGCCATATGAAGCTGTGATCATGGTGAAATATTTTATTCTGTAAAGTAATGTGAAATGATGGGAACACTGTTGGGAAGATAAACGGGAAAACGCGGATAAAATACGTCTTTCAATAACTGAACACCCCCCTACTCAGGAAGTAAATGCAGTGAACTGTTGTTGCTCAACTCACCACTCCTGCCATGGTCTGGGAGAATTGATTAATTAGTAGTCATCGATATGCATAGAAAAAAGTGAGGTTATTCCTCACATGGAAGGGCAGTGGAAAATAACTTACCCGACGATTACATGAATGGAATAAACTTAACTTCTCGGCTTCAGCGGAACAGGTTAGAATGGACACGAAGAAGACAGCCGTTAGCTAACTTAGCACGGTAGTCCGTTTCAATGAAACTTTGAGCTAACGGCGAGGTAACGTTCGGTAATGTATTTATATAAAGTATATATATGTGTGTATATATATTTTTTAACATTACATGTTTACCAGTAGCCTATTTAGCTAGCCTCCCACAACTATTTTCAAAGTAAGTAAAAGTAGTTTTAATTTCCTTCCTGAAGAATAGAGGAAGTTTTTTTGTATGACTTTATTTGGTATTATTTGAAAATACAAATGAGTAATGAGGTGATAATGTAGTAATAGCTCACAGAAACCTTCGTGAGCAAAGCTCGCAAGCAAAGCTCGCTTGCTTTGCTTGCGAACGATTTCCATATCTATATATCTAAATATATAGATAATAGATTATAAATAGATTTGAACTATTTCGTTTAGGTTTTGGCTGAATTTAACAAAACTGCTTTGTCTTTTACAGACAAAGAGGGGTGAAGGGTGAGCTGTAACCATGGAGGCTGCATTTCACCCTTTCTTCACCACAACTGGCCAGCTGCCCTGGTTGCTTCTGACTGTGTTTACATCGTGGACAGCCTTTTGTTCTGCAGATATAAAGCAGACAAGAAGGCCATTATATACCCAGAAGCCAGTTCTTCTTGCCTGGAATGCCCCAACACAGGAGTGTGAACCACGACATAGAGTAACCTTATCTTTGAGCCAGTTTGACATTGTAGCGACCCCCAATGAGGGCTTTGTGGGGCAAAACCTTACAATCTTCTATAAGGAACGTCTTGGGTTGTATCCCTATTATAAGCATGATGGCAGTGCGGTGAATGGAGGCCTTCCACAGCTTGTCAGCCTCACTGAGCACTCAAAAAAGATGCCCGAAGGCCTTAAAAAATACATAAAAGTGCCAGGGGCAAAAGGTTTGGCTGTTATTGACTGGGAGGAGTGGCGTCCTATATGGGTCAGAAATTGGGATGCTAAACTTATCTATCGAAATAAATCCTATGCAATGATAGCCAAAAAGAACCCTACATGGACCTCAAAACAAGTGGAGAAAGTTGCAGAACAAGAATTTGAGCTATCGGCTCAAAGATTCATGCAGGAGACTTTGAAACTGGCCAAGAATATGAGGCCCAATCAGCTGTGGGGCTTCTACCTGTTTCCAGATTGTTACAACCATGACTACAACAAGAATGGTCTGCAAAACTACACAGGCCACTGTCCTTCAGTGGAGGTGGACCGCAATAATCATCTCAACTGGTTGTGGATGGAATGTACAGCACTTTTCCCGTCAGTATACATGGAACCTGTGCTACGCTCAACGAGCCAAGGGCGCCTTTTTGTCCGGAACAGGGTGAAGGAGGCAATGCGCCTGGCATCTGTTGGGGATGGATTAGCACGTCCTGTTTATGTTTACACCCGACCTACCTATATCAGTCAAACGACTCTCCTAACTGAGGTTAGTTGGCTAGAACAGCATTTTATACAAGACGATTACACTTTGATCAATACAAGTGTGATTTAATTTAGATCATCATTATTATTATTATATTTACATTATGCAACAACACACAAGCAAACAAAGCCAACATTAGCATAAATTTGATGAACATAAATATACTTTTTAAAAAATAAAACTATACCATCTGTTTCTGACGGAGACACACCAATTTGTTGTCCTTCACCACAATCATCTTCAGGTTCTCAATTTTAATTCTTTGGTGGAGTTATTATAAAATTAAATCAGTATTTATAGTCACTTACACCTTCCATATACAGGTGTTAGGAAATCTCATTCAACTGGCAACTAGACATTAGTACTGGATATAAAATGTGTGTATATTTGACTGTCCTACTAAAACACAGGTTACTGTATGATTTCACTGAACAGCCCTGAACTGTTTTTGTTTTTAGACAGATTTGGTCTCCACAATCGGTGAGAGTGTTGCACTTGGAGCTGCAGGTGTAATCTTCTGGGGCGACACCTCTCATGCAAGCAGCAGTGTAAGAACAGTATTTTCTATGCTTCTTTGATGCTGAACTGCTTGGTGATTAGTGGCAAGTCAAGTTAACGTTTCTTTTTTGTCTTCCAGGCCAACTGCTCAACCCTAAATGATTATCTTAAGGGACCGCTGGGTCGGTACCTGCTCAATGTGTCCACAGCAGCAGAGCACTGCAGTCATGTGCTATGTAATTTCAGCGGCCGCTGTTTTCGCAGAATATTGGACAGCGATATATATCTGCATCTCAGCCCTTCAACACACAAGATAACTAGTCAGAGTGGCCAGCTCAAGGTTACAGGAATGCTCAGCCAAACTGAGAAGACTTTTTTCCACAAGCACTTCCAGTGCCAGTGCTACAGTGGGTACAAGGGTGATGACTGTACTTTGAAAGAAAAAGAGCCCAATAGAGCCTCCTCTGTATTAGGGACTTGGCCTCTTTGCCTTTTACTTCCGCTCGGACTCCTTACTCTTCTACATTGAGGAAACAGAGACTAACTATTTACTGTTTCAGCGAGCCTAGAAGTGGACAGTTTAGACTGTTATGCATAAATATGGAAATTATATTGATGCATTGACAATACCAAGTAATCTGAGACCTCCCCAAGCTGTTTTTGTCCTGGCATGCAGACCGATGGAACATAAATATCTGTGGGTAGCAAGTTGCAGCAACAACTTGCTGTCAGTCTGCCCCAGGGCAGCTGTAGCTTGCATCCACCAGTGTGTGAACATGAGAGTGAATGAATAGTGGAATTGTAAAGCACTTTGGGTGCCTAGAAAAGCGCTATATAAATGCAATCCATCATTATAACAATGGGCTGAAATGAATGTCCTACCACCAAGATTACCTTGTAGAAAATCATGCCTAAAATCAGTCTTTTCTCAAAGTAATCACCAGATAAATGGATGTTGAGTAGCTTTACAGGACCTTAGTGTAAATGTTTTACTGTCTCCATAGTGAAGAGAAGCCAAAGATATCTATTTTTGAAAGCTTTTTTTATGATTGGTTTAACATCAGAACAACAACACATGGCTTAAAGTAGAAAAAGTGGATAAAAGGGAACAGACGCACACATATTTACAGGTTATTGGTGCCTCATGGCAAAACAGACACTACATTACAATAGTATTATATAGTATGAATATCGAGCTCTTAAGTGTCTTATTAATGAAATACAAGCCAGTCTTAAATCTCTTTTGTATTTTTTTGCTTAGAGAAACATCAAGGATGGACCTGCTCGTTTTCAGTTCAATATTGTGCCTTAACAGGGCTGAAACCAGCTCTCTTTTGCAGTTGCAGTCTTTATGTCCTTGCTTTATATTGATATAAACTCCATCATGGCTAACAATTTTATTATAACCGAACAGTGCAGAGCAAATACATACATGTTACAAGGTATCCATCAACTTAAATGGATATCACTGTGAAAACAGGTCATAAAACATTAGGAAATATATCAGACTGGCAATTTAAACACAACTTGACACTATAACTGACTGTAGTTTACACATTTGCCCAACAAGCCAAATAGCCCCCAGTTTGATCCTGGGAAGACAAAACAGATCGCTTTAGCGTTTCATCAGGAAGGGCATCCGGTATAAAAAATCTACCAAGTCAAACATGTGGAGCTAACGGCTGTGGCGACCCCTGAAAGCAGGGAGCAGCTAAAAGTTCAATATAACTGATTATAGCTGATTTCAGCTTGTGTCTGATGTACTGGAATAGGCTATATGTTCGCTCCATTCATAACCAAATGTATAGGATTGCTTTGAAATTGTTTTGCAACTGTCTAACTGAATATTAGCCGACTGAAAAAAAATGTTGTGTCAAGGATTTTGCCGGTGATACTGTGTGAACAGCAATTACTGTAGGTACAAGTTCAGAATTGTTTGTTCCCAATATAGCTGAGCAGTTGCATGTTTTATACAGTAGGTACTAGTTTCAGTAGCTAAAATGAGTTATGAAAGAAGCCAGCAGGTGGTTTTTCACAAACACGGTAGTCTCAGAATTGCACAGCTGGTGTTGAATCGTGATGTTATATGTACTTATATTGCATAGGTCTTCAAGTTCTGCACTTTACTTTCATGCAGAGTTGGACTGGGTGTCATTACATGTCGTGAGGGACAAAACTGAGTGAATACTGTCAGTGCATGACAGTGCTATAGTGGCTTTTCGCGTGTAATGTGTCACATTGGAAATACTCTGTTTCACTGTGAATCTTGCTGAAAAGCAAAGGGTTGCCTCGATGGTTGTTATCTCTCTCCATCAGCTTTCATCTAATTTTTTTAAGAAGTATCCAAAAAAATTTAAGCCTTTTTTTTTAAAAATAATAAACATGATATTCTTTTACAGCAAATGTTTCTCAACATATTATTTCAAATAGTATGCAAAAAGCACAAAAATAAAGATCTTGCACGGTAAAACTTGATTAGAACGAGAAGAACGTTTTTAACTATTTAAAGCAGATTTTGTGATTCTGTGATTAGTAATTATGTTCAATATTAAGATATAAATAATGTAACTGAAATGTACTGGTTATTGTTTCAAAGAAAATTAACAAAATCAAAGTGTTCTGTATTTAAAAATTTCATATTTGTCTTTTGCATTAGAGAATTACATTATTAAAATGTCTTTATATATGATTTGTTTGTCTGTTATTCCCTTACTCTTAGCAGAAAGGAGGTTCTGCTTTGTCAGGGAGATTCTGAGCGCAAAGTCATGAAAAAGAGCTTTTAGAGCTACCTTTAGCAACAGTCACTTGAAGTAAGCATTTTCTGTGTTCTGTGTGACTTTAACAGTTTGTCAAATCATTGAGGAATTTTGGGAAACTTTTCTTTACATGGTTGCTTCAGTTCATACCTTCATTTACAGGCAGCACTCTTAAGGTCTCACAACAGCATTTCAATCAGATTGAGGTTCATGGTTGACTCAATGTTTGGATTAATGCCGTTTATCATAGTCAGGTCCTGTGGCACCAAAACAAACCCAAATCATCACCCCTCCACCACTGTGCTTTAATTCATATAAGAACACAAGTGAATTCTTAGTATGGAATATTTTTTAACAGAAATGACAAGTTCTGGTTGTGCATGAAATACCTTTTTTTAGAACAGCCTATCACAATTGACTTGCGGTTCAAGTACATAAAAAAATGTCATAAAGATTTAAAGAGTTAAGTTTGATGTGAGATAGTACTAAAAGTATGGTCTTGAGTTTGGGGGTGTCCAGGTAGACATTTGAATTAGATTTCAGAGAAATGACTTTGGTTTATGGCTTCATCTTTTTTCAATTTTATAATGCTATTTTTTTTTCTATTTTATTTTTTTGCTATGTTTTTATCCTGTTTTATTTTTACTTTATTTATCTTGAGATGTTTTACCTTATAACATCATCCTAATATATTATTGTCAGTATTTATTTTATTTTTTTACTTATTTAATATTGAAAAAATATTATTGTAAAAATTTTACTTGAGATATTTGTTTTGTCATATTGTGTTTTATTTTATTGGAAAAAATACTGTACTTATATGCCAGTCTATCTTGTTATAGGTTATAGGTTTTATACAGCGTCTGGGATAAATGGCGTGTACTGTATTTTACTTTAGAGCTTAACATTCTTTTGAGCGCTCAGTTACACTTTACATTTATTATTATTTTGTTTTATTTTATTTTTTATTTCTGCAAGCTTTGTTAGGTTCATTTTCTAAAAGTAAACCAAGTATCCAAAACCTTTAAAAAACAAAAATAATTCACTTCTTCGCTTTCGGGAAAGAAACTTTCAACGGGAAGTGCCGTTGAGATTAGTGTTGTGTGCAGCTCTTAAAGTGCTCCGACGAGAAAAAGTCGGTTTAAAATCGTGGTAGATTTAATTTATATCGGACAAAAATTCTTTATAATGCGTTTGCGCTACTGTCTTTCTCGTCTGTTGGTTAATATCTCGTCTACTTTGAGTTTATCGGCAACCACTCGTTCATTGACCGGGTAATTGGTTTTACTTTGTTAGAAGAATAAAGATGTACAGCTGTGTTTAAGTACAATTTCTCCTCTCACTTTGAAAAGCTAAATTAGCCATCCAAACGAGCAGCGAACCGAAGCCTTTCAGCAACATTCCCCATCACTGGCAACCAGCAACGCCGAGGACGATGACGATAGAGAAGAAAGCCTCGCCCCTCCGCCACTGAACGTGTTTAATTACCTCCTCTGTGTCGGTATGTTGCTGCATAATGCAGGTCGCCTCCCGCTGCGTCCCATTGTGCGGGTTTAGCTAGTACCGGAGCAATACAATTAGCTGGTGCTAGCTGTCATTTTCATTTGGCTCGATTATATTGGTCGTCTTACTGTTTTGCACTGCAGCACCAAACAATTGGAGTCACTAATCCTGGCTGTATCTAGGTTTGTTTGTTCATTTGTTCATTCTGTTACCTTGCAAATCCACTCGTCCCCAAACATTTTTGCCCAATTGACATTTATTAAGCACCTTTAGAGTGAACAGTGTCTCATGCGGGGTGTGCAAGGATTATTCATTTGCAGTCTGTCTCAGCTTGCATTTAGATGATTGTTTCCAAAGGATCTCACCTTCAATCTTTTAAGGAAAACCAATTCACTTCTAAATGTTAATGTCCACCTAATTAAGTGAAGAACTGCCAAGCAACAAACACTTTTTTGGTAGCTTTACATTAAAAATGTTACCAGTCAGCTCTATTTATTATATGTGAAGATGAAAATCAGCTGTGTTTATCAGCAATGTGACAGTAAATACTTTAACAATACAGGTGAAGTTTGCAATTTGTAACCACATATTGTGCAGGTAAAACCACAGGTCTGGGTACTAGTCCTTTCATCCATTTATACAGTGCCAGACGAATAGCACTATTGTGTGAACCGGAATAATATGAAGGGCTTTCAAACAATTTACTGTTTACCGCTTTCTCTAGATCTTTCATCTTGAGGAAATGAATTTCTTGCGCAATCGTCTCGTTGTTCTGGGCCTGGTATTGTTGGCCACGTTACTGCTCTACCTTCTGCTGCCATCCATTCGCCAGGGCAGCATGGAGCCATCCCTGGAAGCTCAAAAAATGGGGCTAATGGCCACCCCTCCTCTTCCACTTCCAACTATCAATGTGTCTATTCGCACCGGACAGCTGCCTGGAGACCCCCCGCTGTTCTTCCGAGAAGCTTTACCAGTGGATGGAGCTGGACGGCAGATACTGCCAAGGTGAGCTTATCTGAGGACATAGCATGCATTCCAGTTTTAATTAATATCAAACCAATTTACAAAATTAGTTAATAAACCAGATGGCGATGGTGATTATCACAGGATTGGTTTGTGTCTGCTCTAAAATCCCGGTTAACACAGTTATGTGTTTGTGCAGGCTGCAAATTGTCTTATTGCATGGTCAGGCCTTCACATCCAAAACCTGGGAAGAACTTGGTACCATGGCCCTGCTGGCAACTAATGGATATCAGGCCTTGGCGATGGACCTACCAGGTAGAACTTTGATCAAACGTCACAAGCACTAAGAATTTGATATACCTTTATTTGATATACCTTTATTAGTCTCACAAGGGGAAATTTCATGTGTCACTAGTGATGATCATCTTGCTTATTACAAGTATTTGCTATCGGACACAGTATATTAGTTACAAAATAATTACTTAAGTTTAATTATACAGTAAAACAATAAAACAAAGTTTGCACACTATTGGCCGTTCCTCAGTTATATGAAAACAAAATTATATTCACAATGAGAATTGAGTCAGTAAGTTTTATTAATGTATTGAGTTTATGACATGAGTCGACTGACAGCATACATTTAAAGTAAAAAGTAGGCTACAGCAATTTTCTCATGCACATTTTTGTAGTTATTCAATAGTGCAGTTGGTTTAGCAAGCTCCGGTTTCATGAGTTAATAGCGCACTCTTGTGGTTAAAAATATTTTTACCTGCATTGTATGATCGCAGACCTTGAAGCTCACTTCAGTCTAGTTTATCATACTTATGCTAGCCGATATATGAGCACTGATGTATGATTACGTATGTTATATGGATTGTTGGTACTCACTTTGTGATTAAGTACAGCATCCTTTCGGAAAAGGGCTTAAATGTGGGTTGATGTAAGCAGGACAAGCCTTACTTGAAATTTGATGTTTGCATGTAGTTTCCAACTCTGCTCCAAATCAAGGTGAACTGAGAAGCGGTCTGAGCAACCAGATTAACTAGAAACACCTAAAACAACAAAAGGGAATGCTGGAAAACACTTTAAAATCCCACTCTGCACACATTCCTAAATGATTGCTTTGTTTACAATGGACATGTATTAAAGCTGATTCAGATTTTTGCGTTTAGAAGTTCTCTCGGAAAACTGCTGTGGAAAGTCTTTAGTTTGAAAACATTATCTCACTGAGTGAGTTATTTCATACGAGAAGTGAGGAAGAGCACAAATGTAAATGAAGGAGGCTAACCTGGAGGTTTATTTATTTTTGTAACCAGGGGCCCGTTCTTCGTACCTCGCTAAGTAAGTTAGCTGGATTTGATTGTTGACGATTTCGCGTGATCTTGGATCGTTCGGTTCTCCGAAGCTCATCCGGGACTTGCTGTCATAGCAACAGATCCGTAAGCGTAAACCTGCTCGGGAGCAGGCTTACTTTATGTAAACAGGATTAGATCGCGGCCACTCAGGTATGTCCGCTTCATGTATACGAAAGCAACAGCGATATTTTACCACTGTTTTCCATAAATAAATATTATCAATGTAACTAAAGATAATGCAGTACTTGATCCTTTTATTGATTCATACAGATACATACAGGTCATTTCCTAAAAAAAGGGAAATGTACTATTAATCATTCTATTTCATGTATTTGATTATTTCAGATGTAATTCATATTTTAGAGTAGTAATTGTAAATTACTTCGTGTAATCAAGATGAGAGACCACGGCTATAAAAGCGAAGGTGGATTTGGGAAGCCTGTCGCAGCCATGTCCTGTCCGTATACGCGAGCAGCCCATTGCGGAAGGTGCAAGATTGATAAGGAGAGTCCTCAGAATTCAGCGTATATTGCGGGACAGACAGGATCCTTTAGCTCAGCGCGACAGTGTGCTCATAGAGAGATATCGATTTTCCCGTGAGGGTATTATTTACTTAACCAACTTGTTGACGAGGGGGTGCAGGACCACCACCTGTCTTTTTGTGCTCTGCCCTTTTCTTGGTTGCTGTTATAAACAAACAGATTATTTCAGGGTCTCTTTCCAAGAGACTAAAAGCAATATAAGTGATAAATATTACCATTCTGTAGAATATTCCTATATTTCACTTTT